CGAGGGCGTGAACCCACCATGAGTTCCGCCCTGGCGAGAGAGAGAGCAAGAGAGAGAGAGACAGAGTGAGAGAACTACTAGTCAGCGGCCTGCTGATCCCCTGGCCGTGACACTATTAGTAATTGCAAATACCTCTTTAACTCAAACATCTGTGTCATAGGTCTCCAGACTGATCTGCGTCAAAGGTCTCTTTCTCATCCATGGCTGGACTCTGACCTAAATATTCTGCTTTGTTTTCTACCTTTTCAATCTGTACAGCTAGTCGATTATTAATAGCCACCTTAAATTTTGTCCTGTCTGTTTGCTTTTTGTTTTTTCAGCACATATGACATAGCTGTGGTGGGAGCCGGCATTGTGGGCTTGGCCACAGCGAGAGAGCTGATTCTGAGACACCCGTCGCTCAGTTTCGTCCTCCTGGAGAAAGAAAAAGAGCTTTGTGAGTGGAGTGTTGTGGATGTAAAGACACGGAACAACATGTTAATGTAGAGATTTGTGTTCTCCACAAATCTCTACATTTTTGGCCCACTCACTGACGCTCTTAAACTTGAAAGCCCTTTCCCTTTAGTAACTGTTTCATTAATAATCAAATGTCCTGGAGAACAGAGCCAAAACTTTGTAAAAATGTAACAAACCAGCAAACATACTCTGGCACTGTTTTCTGAAGTTATTGCAGGATTTTGGATGTATGACAACACTTTACCCCAATCAGTACATAAGATTTGCAGTCATGTGAAAAACTTGCATGATATAGATATAGATGCATGATATAATGGCTTGTAGTGATGATTTAAATTAATAATTTCCTGTGTGACTTCAGTCTCTCACATCATTGTGGTAAAACTTTGCACTCTTATTTAAAACAGTGCTTCAGTTCATTGATGATAGCAGGCATTTGTTTGTGCACTATTCTCTTAAGCCTGATTCTACTGTTGTGGACACAGAAGTCAACAGTTGGAGAACCCACGGCTGATTTGTCATTCTTATTCGATGCATTGTAAAAAGGCAGGTGGGCAGACCCTCAGCTAACTGTCTGATGACTCTGGGACCCAAGTGGACCCTAACAGAATCCCCACTTTAAGGTCCCACCACAGTATTTCAGTGAGGTTGAGGTCTGGACTTGGACTGGGCATGTTGATTCTTTTCTTTTTCAGCCTTTCTGTTGTAGATTTGATGCTGTGCCTTGGATCATTTTAATCCTACATGACTCATTTGCTATCAGATAGATGGCCTCACGTTTGACTCTAGGATACAGAGGAGGTTGTCTCAATGACTGCCCAGGTCCTGTGGCTGCAAAACAAACCCAGACCATCAGCCCTCCACCACTGTGCTTGAGTTGTTTGCGCTGTTATGCTGAGTTTCTCCAAATGTGGCGCTGTGCACTGTGGCCAAATATAAAGCACACTTTGTTCTTGTTTGCCCAAAGTCCAAAGAATTTGTTGAGACATCAACTCCTGGGAAGATAGTGACTTTGTATTAACACACCTGAATATTAACTACTGTTTTCCACTCTTTTATGCTATGCTAATCTCCTAGGTGTACCCTAATATTTACCAAACAGAAAGTTAAATAAAGTTAATTAAAACTTTTGCATATTAAAATGATCAATATTTAAACAGCTAAATAAACGAAACAAAAAAATTATTTGAGTCAGTTTTTTCCCCCCATCACTCTGTAGGACTTAATACTCCCTTCTCTCTTATTGTTCTTCAATTTGTCCATACCTACCAGCTTTACACCAGAGTGGGCATAACAGTGGAGTCATTCACAGTGGGATCTACTACACACCGGGATCACTGAAGGCTCGCCTGTGTGTGCGAGGAGCCACTTTAGCCTATGAGTATTGTGAGAAGAAAGGACTTCCTTACAAGAGATGCGGAAAGGTTTGTCTCTGTATGTTAAGCTGATAGATTTAGAGTTCAGTGACCACCTTGAGTGACCGAAATTACAGCAGACATTTATCAACAGTGTTGGGAAGGAAATATACTACTAGTTTAACTGTATTTAACAGTAGCCTACTGCCCTTTCAGCTTCATCCATATTTACACAGTTTAATTAATGTTACCCATTTTTACCAGGGGCTAATTGTTTTGTACTCTTGGTTCTATATGTTCTCAGTGAGAACAGATGTCTGTGATAGAAAACAGATATTTTCTTGCTTATTAAGCACCACGCTATGGAGCCACTGTGAAATGTAAAGCAAAAATGGGTGACAAGGTCCAGGAAATTTATAGAAAAAAATAAAACTGCATATTGATTAAAAGCAGTGGGGGGAAAGTCAGTACCCACAGTTGGAACTAATTTCATGGTGAGCTTAATCCAGCAGGAGGCAGCATAACGACTAAAAGCAACTAAAATTGAACTAGGTGGCAGTGGTTAACCTGTGACCTCAGCAGGTCCTGGTAGGTTCCTACTTCAAATTGATTTTCTGGAGTTTGCAGGGAGGATGGATGAATAGATGGATTGAAGTTTGAACTAGCTTTTAAATCTTTGAAATGTATATTTATTCCCAGACACGGGTCTTAAAGTCAGCTCTGTAGCTGAATGAAATCCAATGCAAGGATCAAATATTTGGAGTGTTTTGGAGACAGCTTTGATGTCTCCCCCTAAAGATTAAATCCAAACCAAGATCTTTGACTTGGATGTTAATTTTTATTGCCCCGTAGAGTAAAGAAAAGGACTGAGCGCCAATTCTTATTGCAAAAAATAAAATCTTATATTTATTTAGAATACAAGAGGACCCTGTATGTTACCAACGATTTGATGCCTGCTTGTTTTTTTTAGCGATTGTTGGTACTCTGAAACTTTTCAGTTGGTAATAGCGAAGTATACAGTATGTGTTTCTGTCTTAAACCATGCAGCTCATCGTTGCTGTGGAGCAGGAAGAGATTCCCAGACTAAAGGCTTTATATGAGCGCGGCATGAAGAACAATGTGCGTGACCTGACCATTGTCGATGGCAAGGGCATCCGGGACAGAGAGCCTTACTGCAGGGTGAAAAGAAAACAAACATCATCTCATTTACTTGGACAAAAACGTGTTAATGCAGGGTAATATTTGATATTTTGTCTTTTCAGGGGATAATGGCCTTGGATTCGCCCTACACTGGCATTGTCGATTGGAGGATGGTGGCTCTCAGTTATGGTACTGACTTCAAGGAGGCAGGTGGCACTGTGGTAACTGAATATGAGGTCAATGACATTTCCATGATCAAGGAGAGCCCAGCAGGAAGCACAGAAGGTAACAAGCTGGTTGTGCACATCAGTGTTGACACAGTCATAACTTGTCATAAAAATTGTATAGCTAACACAACTCCCTATTTAAATTCCATTTGCAGGAATGAAATATCCACTTGCAGTCAGAGATAACAAAGTAAGACATGTTAAAACAAAGGTATCACACGGTCAGATTGTGCTCTGTTGTTTACAGTTTTTGCATCATTACTTTCTCACAGGGTAATGAGCTGCGGTGCCGTTACGTCCTGACCTGTGGTGGCCTGTACTCGGACCGTTTGTCACAGATATCTGGATGCAGTCGGGAGCCACGGATCGTCCCGTTCAGAGGAGATTATTTAGTCTTGAAACCTGAGAAAAATTACCTGGTCAAAGGAAATATTTACCCTGTAAGTCTGCTGAAAATGTTTTCCTGGTGCAAACATATACAGGCAGGTGTTTTCTGTTTGTTTAAATCATTTTTTGGCAATCTCAATTGCAGAATGTCCCAGATATATGTGAAGAACTATAAGTGACTTACAGTATGTGGACTTCTTTTTCCTTTCTGCCTGGAGATGTTTTGAGGGGAATTTTAAAAAGATGACTTCCTGTCGATTCCAATTTAGAGCTCCGACGGTTGCATCCACATTATTTGTGGGTTTTTTTTTAATACCTGTTGCAGGTTTAACATGTATGTGTTTTCTAATAAATTCTGTAAAATCTCTCATTAGGTTCCTGACCCTCGTTTTCCGTTCCTCGGAGTTCATTTTACCCCGAGGATGGATGGAAGTATTTGGCTCGGCCCCAACGCTGTCCTCGCCTTTAAAAGGGAGGGTTACAAAGTGTACGACTTCAGTGCTCAAGACTTTGCTGATGCGCTCTTGTTCAGGTAGCATATTTGTCCTGGAAGATATGACGATTTCAGTCACAGTGTAACAGCTGCATAGTGTGTGATGCCAATTTGTGTTTTGTTTTGTTTTGTTTACCTGCAGAGGCCTTCAGAAGCTAATAATGAGGAACATTACATTCGGAGTTGGAGAAATGTATAGAGGAGTTTTCATTGGTGCACAGGTTAAAAATCTGCAGAAGTACATCCCTGAACTTTCCCCGAGTGATGTGATCAGGTAGAGAAATCGTTCTTGGTGCTTGTTACACAATATTAGGACCGGTTTTCTGTAACCGCTGGTTGTTTCCTGTCCAGGGGTCCAACGGGAGTTCGAGCACAGGCCCTCGACCGCGACGGAAACCTCGTGGATGACTTTGTGTTTGACGGCGGGGTCGGAGACGTGGGCAGTCGAGTGCTCCACGTGCGTAATGCTCCTTCGCCGGCAGCCACCTCCTCCCTCGCCATTGCTGAGATGATTGCAGATGAGGTGGAGAACCGTTTTACGTTGTAGCAGAGGGAGAAGAGAAAACCAAAGAAAGTCCAGCTGTCATTACTTCTTTATTACAGAACAGGCCTTATTTTAACAGAATAAAGTGACTTATCTGCTGCGGTTTTGTTTTTAACACTTTTTTATTTTCGTGGTGCTACTTCAGGTTGTATGTTTACTTCACCACGTGTGAAAGTACAGTTTATTTTCTGCACTACATTTCTGTCTAGAAATAAAGTTTGCCATGACCTGCTTTTTACATTTGTAACTTCAATAGCATTATCATCAGTTTCTAACATTAAAACTATAATATCAAAGTACATCAACTGTGTGTAAATGTGCACTTTAGATTTAAACGAGGGCTCTTTAATGGTTACATTTCAGTACAAACAGTTTCTTTTTAATTTTTCAATGTGATTTTTCAACCTGTATAAAAGAGGAGTTTGAAGACTGTATAGTCCGCTATAAATGAATGAAGAGTTTCGGTGTCATCATGGAGGCTTTTATCTAGATGTTGGCTTATGAAAGTCTTCATGTACCACACGGTTTACCAAGAAAGATCGGTTCTTCTTACTCCATTTGACAGTTGTGCTACAAAGGTTGTTAAATTATATCATGACTAAATAGTCTCTTTGTCTTATCTATATTTTCATTAAGGCAAATTTGTATTTTTTTGTGGAGCTGCTGGTGATTTCTCTTGAATCTGTTTCAAACTCTGCACATGTTCCTAAAACTGTTCTGATGTTTGTCTTTCTGTCATTACATTGATTATGACAGATGAATGTTAAGGGAATTTTCAAAAAATATATATATTTTTGAAAACAAATGTGCCATTTTTGTGGTTTCTGTTTTAGGTTAGGTTTTTTGGAGGATTTTTTTTTAAAGATGTAGGCTACATTCTTTTATATTTAAATATAATGACTAATATGGGAATTGACCACAACTTCGAATATTTAAACACAACCTTGCTGTGTTTAAAGCTGATTTTTCACTGTGCTGTGATTTTACAGCAGTGAAGAGGATGAAGTGGCGGTATGGAGAGAGCTGTGGACTTTTTAACCAATTCAGTTACATTTTATTTATATAGCACCAAATCCCAAAAACATTTGCTTCAAGGTGCTTTATATTGCAAGGTTTATACTGTCCCCTATCAGCAACCACTTGGCAACAGTGGGAGGGAAAAACTCCCTTTTAAAAAGGAAGAAACCGCTGGCAGAATTAGGCTCAGCCTGGTTGGGGGGAGCGTCAGAGGACAGAACAAAGACATGCCATAGATTAATAATAACTAATGATTACATACTGAGATGTTTTAAACCTAATCGTAAAAGTAGCTTCCTTATTCCAAATTGGGAGCTGGTTCCACAAAAGAGGGGCCTGAAGTGGAAGTTTCTACCTGCCCTGGGGAACCACAATTAACCAGAGCACACTGTTTAACACAGTCCCGGAGACTGATTGGATGGCTGAGCAACGGAGAAGTGTACTTGTACTGTGTGAAGAACAAGGAGGATATGTAAAGCTGTAGTAACTACAGAGGGCTAAAGTTGATGAGCCATACAAGGACAGAGATGATGATCACTAAGCAGCAGTATGGCTTCATGTCAAGAAATAGCTCTAAAGATGCAACACGTACAAGAGAGGGATAGTGGATATACTGGATAAATTATGTTGAAGATGGAGCTACCAGGCAGGAGGAAGTTCATGGATGTAGTGGAGGAGGACATGGAGAGGTTTGAGGGGGAGGATGCTAGGGAGATGGTCCACTGTGGCGACTACAGCCCTTCTGTGCCATGGCTAAGTCAATGAATTATAAAGTTTGGACACAAGGAGGCAACATACTGGAAGAGCCAAAATAAATTAAATACATATTAAATATTTAATTATTAAAAAATGAAGTCAATCATTTTTTCATGTGCTGAATCACAGCAACAAAGACAATGTATGGGGCACATAAGTTTTCAAAAAAATATTTTCACTCATAATATTTATTTAAGCGCATTTTTCCCCATAAATTCAGCCTCCTTGTCATATAAAACGTAATTAGAAATGTATTTAGTGTGGCCGACACTTCAAAGGGAAAGTCAATAAGTTTTATTGTATTTCCTGCTATCTATCTCTGTGTGTCGCTACTCTTCGCTGCTAAGAGTCTACTCTGTGTGTAGAGACAAAAGTCCAGCCTTGTTTTTTTCAGTCCAATAAAATGTGAAATTACGCAGGGACGCACGGCGCAGCGAGCAGAAGCTGTAGGCAGGCAGCGGAGTTGGTACGAACATCTTCGACTTCACGAACCAAAAACACCTCGGCTGCTCTTCAGCGGCTCTGCTCGCAAATATGCCTCGGACCGGCCGCTGCTTTGGAGGTATACGCGGGATTTAGCGCCTTATCTGCTGCGGGGAAGATGACTGAATTCGGAGCAAGCAGCGCAGGAGAAAGTGTGCCTTGTTTGGAGCTGAACGGGTCTTGTGCCACAACATAGTACTCGCAGCGGAGGCCAGCCCCAGCAGCCTGTAGCAATCGTTAGCTGGCCGGCTAACGCTAGCTTGCAGGTGTTTTGGCTGTAAACAACGTAACATAACTTGTAGCTGTAGTTAGCTGGCAGCAACCTCGGCTCCAACGTCTTGCCTCAACATTGAGCTCAATGTGCCTGCTTTAAAGTTTTTAAGCAAACGCTAAGCAGCAAGTGTTACACTTAGCAGCATTCTTATTAGCAGTTAGCAGCTGCTGGGTGTTTACAGGAGCAGCAGGCTGGCCACATAGCCACAAAGCTAGCGACTTAACTTTATTGCTACATGTGCTTTTTTCCATCTTTTTTTAATAGATATTTTTTCCGCTGTTTAGCCCGATTTGATCTCGGACTCACACTCTGCTTTAGTTACTCTGCTTTTTATTAAGTGAGCCAGTTTGTGTTGTTTCACCGTTGTAAAGCCGGGACTGACCCACCCATAAGGACAATTTACCCGGGGCCGATGCTGACGGTTCAGCCCGGATCACGGCAACACCAGGAGCCGCTTCAGCAATGCAGCCCCAGCAGATATACGACTTTTCAAGTGACGAGAATAGTCACAAATGGAGAGGCCTCTTCGTGCAAGCTCTACGAAAGGTACGACTGTGACCACCAGCTTTCTCTATGCACTGTTATATATCAAAACACCCGTATTGGGGTGACCGATTTGAACACTGGTTTCATCTGTGCATCTTTACCAGCGCAAAAGTTTTGTTAACACTTCTTGACTTGAGTCGGCTCAGAAGCAAAAACTTCAAAGTGTTTATATTAACACTATACTTATTTGTGAGGCTTTTAGTGTCTTGCAGACCTCTGGAGATATCCCGCGCCTGTTGACATGTCTCTGTTGTGCCTATTCAATATGCTCGCCACCCAAGTTCCTCATAATGACTTCCCACAGTGATTTTGAAGAAGTTGTTCCTTTGTAACGAGTTTTTCGTCGTTTCGAGGGTGTGCTAACGACTTGCATGATCCAGGGTGAATACCAATGAAGCTTGAGTTGAGTGTCGTGTTGCCTTCTTTATTTGTTCCTCATTTCATCAAAAGATGTATCATCATTGCTGAGCAAAGAGCTTCTGTAGCTGTTTTCGGGTGCTTTTGGTCATACTTATCTGCCTTTTTTCCCAAGCAATGCAGCTTAGACTCTTATAAACTTAAAATGAATTCTTCGGAATAGGAAGCATTTGCATTTTAATTTCCTTGGTCAGCAGGACACATCTGTATCAGTTCCTTTTTGACTGCCCTGTTCTTTCCTTTTTCTTGCATCATCTTGGCTTCTCCTAGGTTTATTTTCTGTTTTGTGGCCCCTCCACATCCCCTCACCCCTTCTGCTCAGACTTGCAGAGTCATGAAAGTCTGGTACCAACTCCTAATTAAGAAAAACGCATTTATCACCGCTCTTTCTGTTTCACTGGGGACTGTTTGCCTTGCTTTTCTGTAAGGTTACACACACAAGGCCAGACTGTTTAGAAACTGGAAGGTGCACAATGATCTGCATGCTGCGTTTCCTTTTGAACTGGCTGTGTGTATAAACTTACAGCGTCCTGTCAAGACCTACTCATGAATTTTAGTGTTCTGATGTGGCTGGAGAGTCCCAAGAAAGCCTGTGTTACAGTTCAAAATAGAAACTAGATTCTTCTTCTTCTTCCACAATAAATGCACTGGCCAAACAGGCAAACTGTGGTGCATCAGAATGGAAAATGGCATTGCTTATTTAGGTGACCTTTAGAGACTTGTGGTTCACCTAACCTGCTGGTGTTTGAGTGCTTTGGTTCTAAGTTAAAACTAAGCCCCTTACACAAAACAGACGCACTGAAAAATGAAATTTAACTTTGATAGAAATACTGAAATAATTCCTTTCTTAAAATAAATATCAACAACAAGCCATTTGTCAAGGTTGAAAGATGGTTTTGTGCTTAACTTTATCACTGGTTGTGTTATAAAGGTTTTTTTTTTTGTTTTTTTTTTTGTTTTTTTTTACGTGCTTTCAGTATCTGACAGAAAAGCCTTGAACCTGTATTTAATGTGCTTTTTGTTGTGACATGTTTTAGTTTTAGCAGCACTGTGGCTATAGAGGTTACTGTCTGTGGATGTAGCTGTGTAGCAACATCATGCTTATAAATAACACTGTCCTATTCTTGTCAGTGATCAGTATTGCAGTGGAAATGGTGTGATGAATCAGGTGAAACTGAGAAAGCAGGTGGTCTGTCGCGATGCCACAGTGTCATTGTCTCAACTTGCTGCACAACTGCCAGAGGGAGAGCCTGTGAGAGATTGACGCAAGAGAAGTTTGTTATGGTTTTGACTGACTGTGACTCGCTGTTTTTTTTTACAGCTGTCCAGGAGCTGTGGTGGATGACTCCATCCTCTAGAATGAAATAAATAAAGAAAACTTGTAAAGGCCAGATCAGGGATGTAAGTTTGTTATCAAGCAGGGAGCTAGTTCTGAGATGTGTCACCAGGTGGTGGTTGGTTTTGGATATATGTAGATCATAAATGAGACGGATGGATTTACTGAGGCTTAACAAATAACCATGACATCACATTATTGGAATTAAGGCTAGAGCTGCATGATTTTGGCCAAAATTATTGTCAAGATTAGATTGTTGTGCCCTGCTACACATTGGCGACCTACCCAAGGTGTACCCCACCTCTTGCCCTACGATAGGCTCCAACACTCCCAAGACCTTGAATTTGTTAAGTGGAAGAAAATTGATGGGTGAATTGAGTTTTTTGTCACGATTATTTAAGTGACGACAATGGTTTTGTCAACACAACCCTTTTCCCAGTTTTAAACATAAAACTAGTCCTCCGTATTTACCTAAATTCTTTGGTATTGGCACTCTGGAAAAGTAACTGTGTGTCATAACGCATCTTTTGTCCAACTTTTATCTTGATGCACATGCTGACACGCTGCACAGACTCACCTTTGTGGATATGCGAGTTCATAGATGATGCACGTTAGCAACCGTTGCATTGTTTTTCTTGGTTGCCGTTATACTTCAGATTGTGGTGCGTTTTTCAGGTGGTTGAGTAAATTATTTGTGTTGCTTTGTGGTGGACACACATCTCTGTAGCACTCTTTGCATGTGATTTGTTCTCTGTTTACATCACTTGCCCTAAATTCAATTTCCAAACAACCAATGCTGATGTGCTTCTAGAGACTAGCCTTTCGCCTTCTGTTGTGCCAGACATTTTCTAGACATCTGTCTTTTAATGTAGTCTTATCACAGCTGTGATTGGCGCCAGGCAATGCTTTAGGGAGCGTTTGATTTGGTGGAGCTTGCATTTTCAAAATCAGTGGAATGTGTTTATTTGATCGTGGGTTGCCAAAATCTTGAGCGAGATTAAAAATCTATTAATTTTGCAGCTAAATTTTTGTATGGTGTAATCTGTTAGTTTTCTGACAAAAAATGAATCACTTGCAGAGAATAAATGCCAGAAATACTGTCAAATGTGAAGATGTGCTATTCTTGTCTTTTCTCTTTATTTTTTATATAATGTTTTTTTTATGCTGTAGGGTGGGTAGAAAAGCTGATTGGAAGACATGTTGGAAGATTTGTGCATCAAATGATGAACTAAAAACAGTAATTGATAGTTGCAATGCACAGTTCTCAGGAAGTCTTTAATTTGATGCAAGTTTAATTGCATGTCTGTAAGAATTAGGTACTTGGTTGCTTTGCTGTGAAGCAGCTGAAGTTGTAGTGCTGAGTTCATACCTACATGAAGGACTGTAGTAACACATATATAAAACGCAACAGTTCAAATCCTGCTTTCGTCTGTCATTTATGCTCATTTTATATTATAAATGAATATTTCACCATGACACAAGTGCAGTGTTTGTCTCCAGGCTAAGGTTGGACAATAACTGGTTTTAAAAACCTTATCGGTATATTTCGAAAAGATTAACAGGATTAGAGCATAGAATTAAGTTTTGTTTTGCATTGCATAAAGGGTTGCTTCCATAAAACGGTGCTTGCAGCGGTTGCAGCTCTCCCAATAACCTTTCGTTTTCCATTGATCTTTCTTTTTTATTAAAAATCCTTACGAGATCGCTCTCATTGCTTTTGCATATATTACTGAGACTTAAGTCATGTATTGCCATGAACCCTAAACCTGTTGATTCATATTGCTGCATCTACATATCCTGGCTGGCGATTATATGGCTCATGCTTGGTGCAATGCACGATCTCTATCTCACCCTGACATGCTGGTGTTAATAATAACTGTGCATTCCCCAGGTCTGCTGTTTCATTGGCATTGAGAAATGGGCCAGAGGTTTGCTGGGTACAGTTTCATTCCATTGCCTTGTTGAGTTAGAGCAGCCTGGTGCAGTTGAGTTCACAGGCCAGCATTTTAAACCGTGATTGGTCAGGTTACAAGCCTGCTTTATGTTTGTGTGTGTTGCCTTTTTTAAAAGTCTCAGCATGAGCAGTCGGTTAAATTCTGAAAGGGTGACTTCACTTGGGGCCCAAGCTGAGAGAGTTGTTTTATTTTAGTCACATGGTTTTGTTGCCTTTTTTACTCAGACTAGACAGAGCTCTTGTCATTTCACCATCAGAGATTTATTGCGAGACTCTACTGCAGCGCTCGAATCCAGCCAGTCATCAAAACTGCGTCTTCCATTTAAGTGCTGCATTTTATACATTGACAGCTCAAATCAAGTGGTTTTAATTGAAAGCAATAAAGAGCCAGGAAGTTGTACAAAACCCCCACAGTTTTGTGTTCATCTTCTGTAACCACAGAAGGTTCTGTGAAATCCGTAAACGGGTGGTTGAAAGAAAGTCCTCCTGTGTTTCCCACGATCACATGATATCTTATTTTTTTTGTTTATATGGTGAGATAAATTTCTGTAAATGTAGATTAAACTAACCCGCTGTTGAAAAAAGAAAGATTTACAGAAACATATACATTTTAGTAGCGTGTAAATAATAATGTCCGTGTTAACATATAATTTATTGTCTTGAAGTAAAAAGTGCTTATCAGGATAAACATTTTAACCAAATAATAAGAGCTCAACTCCAGCTTCTCTGTGCCACGCTGCAGAAAGAACGGACTCTGCGACCTTAAATGACTGCTAAATGCTATGCCTAACAGCCACTTTATTAGTTACACCTTGCTATTTCTGGATTGGACCCCCTTTTTGCTCTTTAGAGAAGTCTTAGTTTTCATGACATAGATTGAGCAAAGTACAAAGAGATTTTTTTTTTTTTTTTGTCGATGTTGACGTGATGGGATCACACAGTTGCTGCAGATTCATCAGCTGCACATCCATGATGTGAATCTCCTGTTTCACCACATCCCAAAGGATTGGATCGAGATCTGGTGAGTGTTGAGTACATTTGAGTACAGTGAACTCATTGTCATGTTCAGAAGACAGATTGAGATGATTTGAGCTTTGTGCTGGAAGCAGCCTGTAGAAGATGGGCACACTGTGGTCATAAAAGGATGGACACGATCAGCAACAATACTCAGATGGGCTGTGTTTTGTTGATGACTTTTGGCCCAAAATATGCCAAGGAAATCCCCCACATCATTACACCTCCCACCTGAGCTCTTTGATACAAGGCAGTAACAAAGAGCTCAGGTTGATCTAT